TCATAGACCCAAGTCAGAGCAGCGGCTGGTTCAGTTCCCTGGCTGACCGATTCTCGGAAGATTACCTATGCTTATCTGAATTTGTTCATTTCTATGCAATTACGATTTCTGCTATCCTAAGTTTTCTAGCCTTTAAAAAAATAGTCACTAGACTAATACACATTATAAAGCAAAAAATGACTCACAGATTACTTTGTGATTCAGTGAACGGTTAAATTCAGAGTTCTTAAAAGTGTATTTTTCCCTTGTACATGCCCAGCACACCTTTTCCTGTACTCCCTGAATAAGCAATTGATATGTCATCAGGGAAATCTGTAACTGGCAATCAATCACAGTGGTTCCCGAGAGGTGAGTGAACAATGATAGGAAATTCAGATACTATTATGAACTACACTATTGTCAACTTTTTGAGTTGCATGGGTATTACGTTAATGACTTTCAATTTAACAGCAGGGTTTTTTTACAGAAATTTTCATTGTTCATTTAGCACTGCTCATAACAATAAGAGACAAAACAACTCTCAAGAAACTGTGAAGGAAACTCTTCAAATAAAGAAAAAGCACTGAATGTGAGTCTATGTGAAAAGAATTCAGCCAACACCAAGTGCTTTAAAAACAAAACTAACAACTGTACTTGAGCAATAAAAGTTTCTACTCCTAAGTAACTACAGTAGTCGGTGAAACTACTTGGCACACTGACCCTACATTATCTTAATGTATTCCCAAATAAATACATTATCAGAGCTTAGAGGAATGCTTCCCATGCAACCATATTGCCCCTTAACTCCACCTTCAAATGTCGTATGACATCTGTATTATCAATTCCATGGTACAAACTGCATATTCTTGACTAAATTTATTATGGTCTTGGAAAGCACCTTAATAGGAATGACCTAAAACAACTCATGTTTTGGTTAAAAGTACCAATGGAAATGTGATCAAATAAAAGCAGACAGAAAACGAGATATTTTGTGAGATTTTCAGTCTCAGCTTTCTTCATTCATCTTTCACTCTTCTATTTTACTGTCAGGCAATGCTCACCTCTTCAATCGCGCCTGCTGAAATTCTGTGTCCAGCGACATTGATCACATCATCAGCTCGAGACAGGACATATAAATAGCCATCTTCATCCATATAACCTGCATCCATAGTATCATAATATCCCTAAACACAACACAACCAAAAATAAACTCAGAAATAGTACTAGGAACACCCATTCATTTCCTTTGAAACCAATAAATAAAACTGATTGTTTCAAATTAATTACATTTTTCATGCCTGAAAGATTTAATTCTGTAATATTTTTCACCATTCTTACGTCATAATATACCATGTAGCTCCCTTTCCAGAAAGGTTTTGTAGTCTTTGTTAAAAGAATACATAAACTTGGATTTTTTCCAACTCTGCTTTCTTTGATCCCTGACAGCTTGGAGTTGGATGCTGCCTGAATCTGCACAAGGAGAATGGAATTGTTACAATACAATGACAGTTGTCAAATTGCCCCTAAAGATACCCGTGTTTGCTGGATTCAAACATATACCATCATTATGATGTGAGTGCACACAAAAAATAATTTGCCTGATCAATTCACTCATCTATTTTTATTGAACCGAACCTTCATTTTGGACATTCACATAGGACCAACCTATCTATTTCTACAAGGAAAGGAGGAAGACAGTCCTTGGATAGTTCATCTGACAAGGAAACATAACATAATTCAGTAGGGAGCCTCCAATGTATCTACATGCACAGTGGGCAAGTGCATATTTTGGACTGATACTAAGTTAGAATGACTACATGTCAACAGCAGTAGTATATTTGAAGCTATGCTAATCTAAGGTTGCAAAGTTTATATCTTTTATTAGATTAAATGACAGAAACTGACTTTTATGTTCAGAAGCTTTGGGTTTACTGCTTCTGTTTCAGATCTTGAAAAAAACAAAACAAAACAGCGTGCCCAAAAGCTTGAAGTATGTATGAAGAAAGTTTTACCTTGAAATGTTTTTAATTCTGTATCACATACATCAAAGATCTCCCATTAAAATAAGAAATTAATTTTGTATGTTATCCAGTTTAAATCTAATATCATTAAGTTCTGCAGGATTACCAGAAGTTTATATGATTTTGTAATTCTTACTGGAAATTTTTGGAAATATAACTTCTGGAACATTTCCTGATTTTCCCAAAGACCTGAGAATGCTCCAGGAGGCAAAGGCAACCTTAAATTAAAACAAGCAGAGTGAAGTAGTTAGAAACACAGATAATAAGTACAACTCATGCTTTCCATTCATACCTTATATTCAGATAAATAATCATTGGCTATAGAATCAGAAACAAGTTCTGTTTAATAATATGCTGATAACAGATCAAAACGACCATATATTTGTTGTGATCACACGCATACAGCTCTGAACTGTATTCAGACATACCTTCCATACAACATAAGCATCTCTGGCATTCAGTAAAATAATATTTGGTTGTGTAAACACTATATACAGTATTATAAATATGTTATCAACATTTAGTTTTCAAAATTTCCAAGAATGAAGTATCTGTCAGAAATGTGTGCATATATGCTCTGATACAGACAATTTCATTATTATAGGTATCTCTCTAACGCACATACACACTCACACATGTATAGACATATGAATTGAATTATCAGATGCACAGATCTTCAGTTTCTGTAAAAAGATGTAACTTGAATTATTTCAGTCATAAGAATCTGAAAAATGTTTTTTTTTTATTTAAACTGTGCACAATATTATTGGAATTACTGGAAGAGTTCTTTGAAAGTATATTGATAAGAGTCACTTTTAGAACTTTCTAAAATAACTGGACTTGTTTTTATTTTTTTTAAGAAGTGAAGCTGCAAAATTTTGGATTGCTTTATTAGTTGAAATTTCAATGTATACTATACACCCATTCTTTAGTCAAGGATATGGGCATGATAAAAGACGGAGTATTTCACATACATATCTGCTGGAAGAAGAGAAGCTACAGAAGTCTCAACTAACAAAGTGGTTGCTTTTTCCTTTAAAGCTCTGATAGCTTTAACCACAGCTTACTCGAACTGCCTACGAGATCCATATTCAGACATATCAACACAAATTTTATGAAGCTTAACCCTAGCAACACAGAGAACATGCAAGTAAGCATATTTATACAGATAAAATCATAAATGCCTCATACAGATTTTACTAGCATATGCCTGCATTCCTAACCAGCAAATTTTTAGCCAGAGTTATTTTATTTCCTATTGTGACAGCGCCCCTATGACACCAAAAGACATTTCTAGCAGTGAAACATCTCTCTGTAGCATAGCAACACTGATGTCATTACAAGTCTCCTATGATGTTCAGGTCACAAGGACAGGTGCTACCAGCTCAGTGACGTGCACATTTCTAACATTACATTTACTAAAAGAATAATGTGATATATATATATTTTACCTAAATATTATATAAATAGTACAAGCTACATTGAAAAGGACATATCATCTAGTAATGATTCAAATCTATGATTTTTTACAGTCCCAGTTCTTTTCAGCTTGATTAGAGTAATAGAATATACTACTATACACATTACTCTTTCTCTGAGGGTTCTGGCCCAACACATCCTATAAATCACATTCCCTGAAAGTATGGCTAAGATAAGGACAGGAATGCCAAGATAATTCCCAGGTAGTCACCCAGGCTTCAGAAGAGCAAGTTGGTTTCTGCCCATCTAGAGGGAATTCACTGGCTTATTTTAAGTCTTTCAAGATTAGTAAGCATCCTTGTGATACACAAACATGACCTACAGAGTATTTGCCTTGAAAAAAAATAAATTAGGAAAACAATATATTGATCCTGGTGTGTGTGTACGTATGAGTTTAAAAGAAAAAATCTCTTCTTTAGATTCAAGAAAAACCACTAGAGAATGGTAGTTACTATGGTTGTTGCCAGGTTGCTAATAGCATAGCAATTCATAACAGCCTCAGTCATTGCAAATTTTGCACATTAAATTTATTTAAGAGTCTGAAACACCCTTGTGATGGTAAAAGACAATTCATATTGACAAAGTCCTAAATAATTTCTCCACAACTCTATTTAGTCTATTTGCAGTCAGTCATTAAACAGAAGAACTAATTCTACTGCTGAAATCAGAACAGCATTTCCCTTTCTGTAACTGTAATTGTTTAGAAATCTAAACACAGAAGTATGCATCACCAAAAATATAATTCTTTCTCCCACCGTTTGGAGTTGGGAGGGTGTTTGTTCTTGTCATTGATTTATTTTTTTTTTAAAAGAAAACTGCCATGATAAGCACATCCACAATGTATATTTTGAGAGTCTATGGAAACCAGACTGCTAAACTACTGGCTACCGCAGGTATCTCTATAGAGCAAAACAAAGCACAACACAGACACAATCTGAAAATATGCCTCCATGGCTTTCTGTAAAACATTACTTGCAATTATGACTCCATTCCGTCTGCTAAGCAAAAACTGAATGCCATCTTCCATGTGTCCATCTTGTAGGCAAAATAATTCCAGAGCAATGGGCACATACAATTCTTCTATGATAGTAAAGTTCTTAGCATCACAAATAACACAAATAATAAAATTAATAAAAGGTGGAATTTATTTTGCCAGAACACAATTACATGTGTTGGAATTTTGCCAGGACATCAGGATTAAAATACCCAGAGCCAAACCTACCTCCATCCCACTGCTGTCTCTAAGAATGCTGCCATGAATTCCAAAGGGAGCAGAACTGGATCATAATTATGTGAAAGGAGCCAGGAGATAGAAAATCAGACTGTCAGAAAATAACAGCAACCTGAAACCTTTCCATAAAAAAGGAACATTTTGAGATGTTGGGTTTGAGTCTGTTCTCCCTAGGAAACATAACACCTATCTACAAAAGCTCTATATTTAAAGACTATTGCCTCATTGTCCAAGCACTGAGCTGATACTCAAGGCCTTTTGGGATTATTGTTATTAAGAGGATATATTGACCAAAAAATGCCAGATATGCATCAGCAAGCATGATTGCCCCAGAGATGGGCCTGCTTTCCTTTCACAAGTGACAGAAGCACAAAAGACCAAGATAAGAGAAGGTAGGCTCTTTCATCATCATTTCCACTTTTGACATCCTACTGCTTACAATACACAAAGAAGTTGCTTTGCTTGGTTTCCCTTTGGAACACATTTACTGTATTTCTCTAGCTATCAGTTACCTTCTCTCTCTCTCGCCCTGCATGCCAAGCCACAATCCAGGCAGTGCTGAGCATTTGCATGTGCTGTCAGTTCAAAGATAAGCTCTTCCTTACACTATTCTTTCTTGGATTTTTCATATGGTCCTAACTTTGGTAGCATCTTCTATCTCATCATTGCTTTTTCCTTCTGGAGAGGACAGTCACGAGCTTCAACAAATACAAATTCAAGACTAGCTTGCCAGCTTTTTCTAAAATACAAATGTGTTACCAGCTATATTGGGTCAGGATAACTACAATCAACTCATCCCATTTAACTAGCAAAGAATAAGCACAGTTTCAAACCCAAGTCCAGGTTCAAGCCAAAAACCTACACTGAGCTGAATCAAAGCACCTGAACTTGAGAAACGTTTACCTTTGGATTTCAAACTTAAAAAAAAAGATGCATAGGTCTGTATTTTGATCTCACCCATGCCAATTTTTCACCAATACAGGAGGAACAGTACAAATGATGCTATTCTCCATTTACTGCAGTGAAATTAAGGTGACAATTGCAGAACTACAGGAGTACAGATCCAGGCCCATTTCTCATTTCAAGGTTGAACACATTTAGAACAGCATCAGGAAAACTAGGTAAACTGTGTAAATTAATGATGTAAATTACATGAGTTCATCTTACCAAGATCCACTCCAGCTATATGTTACAAAGATAAGAAGGTAATTTTATTGTAAAGTGGAGAAACTAAGACAGATTAGGTGAGCTTGGCAGCTTCACAGAAAAACTCTGAAGTGCTTTCATAGTAACTGTTTTCTGCTAGAGAATTTTGAACTACAATCATTATCTGTTTTTTAAGTATTGTTTCACAGTTCATTTATTTTTCATACAACAGTGGCTGACCTTATACAGAACAGCCCACCTTTAGTTTAGCCCAAAAAAATCTGACTCCATGTGTCACATGCTTTCAGGATGCCACTCATCAAAGTGATGTAAGATTCCTTGTTGATGGAACAAAGCAATTATAGACACAGCACTCAAAAAATAATTTACAGACAAAAGCAGATTTTTGAAAGTACAAATGAAAGTCAAAAACTATTACAGATGCTACCTTTCCGAGTTTCAGAAAAGACATCCTTTTATTTTATGGTAGACCGTGGTACTCACAGGCTGTTCATTACAGGCAGTCAAAGCAAGTATAATCTATTGTTAAATGAGTTTCGGTTTGCGAATGCAGCTAAATCATCTTGACTGGCAGCTATATTATTACTCAGCATTTATGTAGTGCTGTGCATAACCATCACTCTTAAAACTTTTGAATTCAAGTTTGAAAGCCATCTGGAATCTAGGAACTTTTTCAGATACGAGGAACAACACCACTGGGAAAACAGTGGAGAAGGGGCAAGAGAAGAGAGAGCATCTTGAATATTCACCAGCCTACATGAAATATTCCTTTAACTAGCTGAAAGAGGTCACAAAAGTAGCCAATTTCAGTGTGGATTTTGCAGGAAAAACAACCTATAGTTTAGTCAGGAAGACAGAACGCATCAAAACCTAGTGAAAGTGCTTGGAAAAGGTTAAAAATAATGAAAGTTCAAACACTACTCACATGTACTCTGTCAGACGTGTTAGAAAATCCATCTTTGGCCAAATTGCTCCCACATTGAAAGGCCTACTCATTGTTTCACTTGTAAAGGGAAAAGACAAAGCTGAAAAAAAAACGTGGGAGGCTGGCAGGGAGAGAAATCTTTTGCACAGACTCATCGTGATCATCTAATCTGACTTCCCTAATAACACATCTTAAAGGATGTCACCTACTAAATTCCTGTCTCCAGCCCACAACTGTGGGTTAAATGACAGTGTGTCTTTAAGGTAGATATCCAGGTTCAACCTAGAGGTGTCAAAGAAAATCACTCTGTTCAATAATTTGTTCCATTGGTTTAATACTTTCGCTGTTAAAACTATGTTTTTCCTAACATCTGAATATATCTAGCTTCAGCTTCCAATGTCTTTATGCTAGATTAA